GCGTGTGTGCTCTGTGCGTGTGCTCTGTGTGTGTGTGTGTGTGTGCACGTGTCTGTCTGTCTGTAGCTCTTCCACCCACGTCTCCCCCCCCCCTCGTCACCTTGCACATGCTTGCATCGTTCACATGTCACGGCAACTGCGCTTGCATGTTATGTTATATGGCTCGTGTGGCACGCTGCAGTGATGTTTGACGCACCGCATCTCATCGACCCTGATGCCATCAAGGACGACGACAACGCAGGAGGTTGTGTGTGTGTGTGTGTGTGTGTGTGTGTGTGTGTGTGTGTGTGTGTGTGTGTGTGTGTGTGTGTGGAATGGGTACAGAACCTTGAACCTCTTCCATCTTGACCCCTCTCCCAACTTGGCCCTCTTCCACCTTGACCTTGGTCCTTCGCTTCCCTGCGTACACGGATTGTTCACGCTTGTTCATGTGCTGGGTGTATTGGCTTTGTGCTCCCAACCATGCCAGAGCGAGGCTGGTACTTTTGCCACGACCACCACTACCACTCCACGGAGGAGACAAGTAGCTATGTTGGGCTACAGGAGAGCATTGCACGCGTACAAGAAGTGATTGCAGAGCAAGGTCCATTTGACGGCATGCTGGCCTTCAGCCAAGGAGCGCAATTCCTCGCCATCCTCTGCGCACAGGCCCAGCTGGTGCGTGCGTGCGTGTGTGTGTGTGTGTGTGTGTGTGTGTGTGTGTGTGTGTCTGTGTGTGTGCGTGCGTGTCTGTGTGTCTGTGTGTGTGTGTGCGTGCGTGTCTGTGTGTCTGTGTGTGTGTCTGTGTCTGTGTGTGTGTGTGTGTGTGTGTCTGTTTGTGTGTCTGTGTCTGTCTGTTTGTGTGTGTGTGTGTGTGTGTCTGTGTGTGTGTCTGTGTGAATGTTGGTGCAATCAAAGAGGTCACACCGAACGCTGAGAGCACATCTGTCGCACTCGCTCTCATACCTCTCCTGGCATCCATCCTCGTTTCTTCTTGTCGCCTCCTTCTGCAGGCGCGTGCAAGGGGGGAAGTGCCGGCCATCGACCCGAAGTTTGCCATCTTCATTTCAGGTGAGGCGACGATGCTTCCGATCGACGCGCAGAACGCCAACACGTCAGTCCCACAACGACGTCCTTCGCTCACACTGATTCGTGTATGTTTGTGTGTGTGAATGAATGAATCAGGATTCCGATCCTATGCCAGGGACCACGAGGAGCTGTTTGGGCCGACGAGCATGGGCGGGCAGAGCGGAGACGCAAGCGCAGAAGGAGAGCAGGCAGGGCCGCCGCTTGTTGTTCACGTCCCAACAATGCACATCATGGGAACGACTGACCAGGTGATTCCTGTGGCGCTGTCGCAGGAGTTGGCAACAACGCACTTTGCTGAGCCCGTGCAGGTGGTGCATGAAGGTGGCCACTTTGTTCCATGGCCCAAGGCCAACACCCCACAGCGGGACGCCATCCTCCGTTTCTTTGCGCAACGCGTCGCTGCTCTCGATGCCTTGGCATGAAATCGACAAGCAAGGGCATGCACGCACGCAAGCAAACAAGGACGTTGTATTGGTGAACTGTGTGTGTGTGTGTGTCGTGTGTGTGTGTCGTGTGTGTGTGCGTCTGTCTGTCTATCTGTCTGCCTGCCTGTCTGTCTATCTGTCTGCCTGCCTGTCTGTATGTATGTCTGCCTGCCTGTCTGTATGTGTGTGTGTCTGTCTGCCTGCCTGTCTGCCTGCCTGTCTGTCTGTGTGCCTGACCCAATGTATGCGCGTGTGCGCCGCATGCGAATAAACAACCCTACCCCCACATCGCAACCCACCATCCCCCACCGCAATTACCTTGTGTCAGTCGCTTAGTGTGTCGGTCAGAAGCTGGCTGGCTGGCTGTCCATCCCCCACTCCAAGTCACGAACGTCGCCTCACTCACTCCAACAAGCCATCAGCGTCGTCTCATCACCCATGCCAGCTCCATGCGGCTTCTTCCAGCTCCTTGGGGTCGTCTTCCCGGACTAAGCTTCAAGCAAGCATCAAACCATACCTCCAACAGAACACCCCTGCGCTCTTCTTTCACTTCTTGTTCGCAGCAGCGCAGCGCAGTTCACTGTTGTAGGTCGACCCATCCCCACCACCACCACCACCACCAACGCGCAACATGCTGGCGTTCAACCTTACATCACTTACCACTGCTGTCATGACACACGATCTCATAGTTCAACGGCGTCACCATGATCAGGCGGGTTGTTCATGTGCACGGCGCAACATTGTTGGCATGTTTGTCGCACCGCCAATGCCTCAGCATCCCAGTGCGATACAACCAAGCACCAAGCACCAAGCACCAAGCACCAAGCACCAGCTTGCATCATCCTCCTATCAGCACAAAGCCGAGTGCTTTGCTGCACGCATCAACAGATGTCATCAACGCGTGTCTTTTTTGGTTGATTGCCTGATTGCGTGTGCGCTGTTTAGCTTCGCCGTTCTGCACACACTTCCCATCAGCATCAAAGGCAGTTGCGACAGTCACGTGTGGGGACATTTGCAGCTGTTGGTGTGGTCTTGCTTCTGCCAGCCGCACACCTTCGCAACATGCAGGTGCCACTCCGCAACACGCTCAATGATCGCACCCCTGCAAACGTGCAAACGTGGCGTGAGTGCTGCACAACGTGCATGGGCAGCCGATACGACTTTTCTACGGCAATGCCCGCTAAATTTCGACAGTCAGCTGGAGGGGCACGTGCTGGTGGCGATTCTGCAAAGGCGACAAATCATTCGCCACAATCGATGGCTCGTATACGTGTTGTTTCGTCATCAATACGCCAAAACGTGTGGTTTTGACACGTTCGCGCGAGTTAGTCTGGCCAATTTCGTTTTGCACGGATGTGGCTGCGAACGTTAATTCCCAGAATTGATTCGTCCGTTTGTCCCGCCCACCAGCTTTCATCATGCTCTTGCATCGCTTGACAAACCAAGCAAGCCAACCAAGCTGCCCCAACAACACAAGCACAACACAACAAACCTTCGCCTCTTTGTTTGTTGCCGCAAAGCGTGCAACCGCCAGCCAGCCAAAGCGTGCGGTGAGTGTGTGGTAGGGTGGAGAGATCACCATCACACAGTTGCTGAAGGGCTTGCGTGTGTTGCTGTCATCTGCACAATTCTGGGTGGCATTTCATCGGCTTGTTTGCATCACAATCAAACTTGCAAACGCACCTTGCATCGTGCCTCCAAACACTTGGTATGTCCTCGCACAGATCCCAAGCGTGTTGTTTACTGCTCCCCTGTTCCTGCTGCTGGATCATGCAAAAGTTGTGAGCGTGTCGGTTCATTTTCCATACACTCTCTGCACCTCAACTCGCCACAAGGCTCCAGCGTTTGTTCTCCTGGATCGCACCCAAGCACCTCTCGCTCCGAGTCACAGCCAACCAGCCAATATCCCACTCCACCAACGCGCTACGCCTGTTTGTTTTTTGTCTTGTGCACGAGACGCTCGATTCCGCAACAGCACAACACAAACAACCACCTGAAACACCCCCACCCAATCACACCCAAGCGCACAGTTCGTTGGATCAAGACGTATCGCATATCGCCAACGCACACGTCATTCGCCAACCTGCCACCAATCACACCATCAACACCGCAGAACCACAGCACCACAGCACCACAGCACCACAACCCACCCGCACGCCGCCTCGACGTGACATCAGCAACGATAACTTCCAAGTAGCATTTCCTCCACGACCATCTCGACTGCCCTTCCACCTAGCCTTCCACCTAGCCTTACATCCTCCAATATCACTGCAGCACTCTCGACCCACAAGATGGATTCTTCCACAACAGCTTCGGGCATGGCCACTTACGGCACATACCTGGACGAGCTTCTCCAGCAAGCAGGCACCCTTACCAAGCCCATCACTTTCCGCGCAAGCCGCCCCACAGACCTCGACCTCAGCACCGTCCCCTTTATGCCAGGCGTGCTCTCGCCAGCCTTTGCAACCTCCCCACCAAACATGGGCAGCCAGCAGAAGCAAAGCAGCAGCGACTACTCGCAGCTGTATGCACAGCACTCCCCATCCCTTTGCCTGCATGCAACGGCAAGCAAATCCGCAACATCCCCCACACCAACAACATCCGCCTTCTCCACGCTCAACACCGCCGCGGCAGCCCTGGACAGCGGCTTTGGCTTCATCGACAACACCAAGAAGGACACGTCGATGACACCATCATCCCCGCCATCATCCTCATCATCATCGGTGTCTTCATCCCACGCATCCAAGTCCTCCAACAGCATTGCTACTTCCCAACAGCAGCACCAGCAGCAGGCAGCACCGTTCTTCGACTTTGACACTGCACTGGCAAGCCCCCGCCTCCGCTTCGAAAGCACAAGCGACAACATCTTCCACTTTGATGATGATGATGTTTTCCCCACAACAACAGCGACAACAGCGACGACAGATGGCGGTGCCATCAACGTCGGCGCCACTGATTGCTCGCAGAGCCAGGGCAATGACGGTGCCTTCCTGCCTGCGTTCACATTGAATAGCGACGTTCAAGTCGAGAAGCTGCTGAGCCATGCAGACACGGACCTTTTTGACGCAGCCCTGGAGTCCTTCCTCTCCTCCTCCTCCTCCTCCACCTCCTTGTCGTCTATGGAAGAGCGACAGGCGTCTGTGGCATCGTCGGCATCAGCACTGTCCGCTGCGTCGTTCTCATCCAACAGCAGCGACGCTGAAGATCTCACCCCTCTGCAGCCCACATCGCACGCAACCACAAGCTCGTCTTCTTCGTCCTCCTCATCGTTGCCATCGTCAACGTCATCGCCAGCACACCGTCGCAAGAGCAAGCGGGCACAGCGCAGACGCGGCAACAACAGCAGCGTGCGCGCCAAGGGCACAGCAAGCACGACGATGCGCGGGCGCAGCGCCATCAACAAGCGATGTGTGCTTGAGAACGGCGAGATTGATCACGAGAAGCTGGAGCGCACGCGAGAGATTGCACGCCGCAGCTACTGGCGCCGCCGCAACCAAGAGCTCACCAGCCGCCACAGCGTGGATCAGCGCCTGACGCTGCTGAACAAGACCAAGGACCTGCTTGTGCAGAAGCGACAGCGGCTGTTGAAGGAGCGGCAAGCGCTGCTGGACCACGTGCGACAAGAGTCCCACGTCTTCTTCCCGGTCGGCACCATCGACCAGCACCCGTTGCCACTGTTTTGAGCTGCCTTATGAAGTGGAGGGGGACACTACCTTCTCATTCTCGTTACATTTTACTCGATGCGCCGACACTCGTTATTGTGTGCATCAAAATGCTTCCTGCGCCTGCTTGAATGATTTAACTTCTATCTTCACTGACCATCATCATGGTGTTCTGTGGTTTCTGTACATTGTCACTTTTGCTTGCTTCTCTTGTGTGTTACGATGGTGTGGAGCGGGTCTTGCCTTTGGTGAACGGACGTTGCTTGCATGCAAGCTTGGGACGTGTTTGTTTGTGCGCTTGTCGGACCCTGTGCTGCCTGAGAACCCGTTCACTCCTCTCCATTCCCCTTGGTTCCGTGACACAGTGGCACACGCTTCTTGCCTCTTTATTCATTCATTCCTCATTCTGTTGGCCACTCGATGTGGCGCATTGTCACACGAATAATACACACAAACATACAACAGTTGACAAGCAGGAAAGGCAATGTGCCGGCATTCATACAAGCAAGGTGCGTGAAAAGAAGGGGAAGGGACGCAAGAGTAATGTGGCGGGAGCAGTCCATCGTGTGTGTGTGTGTGTGTGTGTGTGTGTGTGTGTGTGTGTGTGTGTGTGTGTGTGTGTGTGCGTGTGTGTGTGTGTGTGTGTGTGTGTGTGTGTGTGTGTGTGTGTGTGTGTGTGTGTGTGTGTGTGTGTGTGTGTGTGTCGTGGTGCTGGTTCCCAGGCAATCAACGAATCAAGCACTCGGAAGAGCATGAGTCGAGCAGTGATGACAGCCACGGCCTTGTGCTGGTTCCCAGGCAATCAACGGCAGCCTCAGCAAAGCAGCAACAGAGCTGCACGTCCCTGCGCGCGCGCGCGCGTGTGTGTGTGTGTGCGTGTGTGTGTGTGTGTGTGTGTGTGTACACGCAGAGTGTGTGTGTGTGTGTGTGTGTGTGTGTGTGTGTGTGTGTGTGTGTGTGTGTGTGTGTGTGTGGCTTGGTGG